GATCAATTGGAGACCCGTCTACTGGGAACGAAACTCGTTAAACGACACAATTTACTTTCACCGTTCGGACAAGCGAACCGAGTTTAATCAGCTTTTCATTCTTATCCCTGTGAAATTCTATTTCGGCCGCGTTACACGTAAAGCGAAGCGATTAACAGCGTTGAATAAGGCCGATGATGCTCGTATTCGGGCAGGCACGATTTCAGAATTATTCATTGCTGGAACGGTTTCCCGTACGCTGGTTCGTTCGTTGTATCTGTCCGCGATGGGTCCCGGCATGCACGCGACAATTAATTTCGTCGAAAATTTCGGCGGCAGCTCGTTTCGCGAGCGAAAAACCAGCCGGGTCACGTCTCTCGCTAACAAGGCCATAATCCTAACAAATTATGTAACGATATCTCTTTTAATTGCGATTGTTTTAATTCGTGGAATAATGATTTCGCGATCTTTTTTGTCTGACAGTGATGTATGCTGTACTTTAAGGTATGCACTTTAATTAAAAAAAAGGATAACCCAATAAACTTATTTTTCGTAGACATTTTTCTTAGGATATATAATTTGTTTNAATAATTTTATGTACAAATAAATTTTATTCTATACAAATATATACAGCAAATGTAGGCTACAATTATATTTTTCTCAACATGAAGCAAAACGAAATTTCTGCTGATGACAATCAACATAGATGATATTTTACACTTTATGTATTTCATTGAATGAGATTGAATATAGGAAATTGGAATAAATACAGTGAAAAAAGATTGTGAGAGGGAATAGATATGAGTTCCATAGTTTTCGGCTTGTGTAAGTTTCTACCGCGGCCTACGGAGTAGCACACAAATTTTCGAGAAAATCCTACGGCCGAGATTGAAGGAAATACCAGTCGAGTCGTTGACAGAGTATAGGAAGGAGCTTTGCCTTTCGGCGTTCCCGGCATCACGAAAGCGGGAGAAGCACATAAAATGTCTTTACAATTCGTCTCGCTGCCATCTTAACGTCGCCGTTCCTTTTTCTCCGTCTTCTCGTATCTGTCTATCCACTTATCTCTAACTTTTCACGACGAGGCTTACGCCCGCGCAACCCTCTCGCATTTCCTGCGATTTATTTATTTTTTGTCCATGTACATACAAACAAACCGCACAGCTGAATTTCGTTCGAAAGGAAGTGCTTAATCAAAAGGATGGATGATTTTAGTGCCTCAAAAACAAACATTATTGGTAGATAATATTTTAGCATATGTGCATAATACAGGGTGTTCCAAAAAAAGTGTCAGAGTCGAAGAGGGTTGACTCTGGAAGTATTTTTGAACAACAATTTCCTTTGACAAAATGCAAAGTGAAGCATGGTTTTTCGCTAATAATTCAATGTCTTTTTTATGTTTAAGTATTTAATTGCAATGAAAATGAAAAGGCTCATTCATTACACAAGTCGATTAGTAAAGTATTCAGGTTGAAATTAACAGTCATTTCTCAGTTCTTAGTTCCCCAACTGCTTCTTGCATATCTAGATTGCCTCGAGACCCATAATTTACTTAGAGATTATTATATTATTATAAATTTAAATATTCATTGTCTTCAGCCATTATTAAAGCTTCATTCACTTCAATAAAGTTTTAAAAAGTATGAAGTAATAACAAGACCTAAAACATTTCTATATTTACAGTTTCTCTTTCGATTTTCATTAATCTTGTAGAGAACTGAGAACTCAGAAGCGATTATAAATTCCAACCTTAATATTTCTAAAATATTTCACATTTTTAAAAAGATAATCCCGGAATTACCTTGTAGTACTGTATCATCACTTGTTGCTAATGTTCGTAACATAATTAGAATTTAATGCCTACAATAAAGCTACTAAATAATTCAATAGTGAAGATAGTCGAGCATAGTGTATCCATTGTAGCACAACCCATGGCGAAGCTCCCTCGATGGAGTTACAAATGTTGTAAAATTCGACTGTGAAACAGAAGTTCGGTCGGTTACAGGCTCCCAATGAGAGAGAGAATCCCGGGATACAAGAAAGTTTCGCGTAACTTTCCTACTAGAGACGAATCACCAGCGTGTTCGGCTCGGTGCCTAGGCATGGACTGCTCCGCACGTTGATCAACTCCGCGGAGCGGGTAATTAAACCAGCTCGCCTCCTTACTCTTCGACTTCGTACTTCCCCTCACGCGTCGTTTATTATATTAAAACGGAATCGTAGATTCTACGGTGCGGAGCAATTAATTACTCGGTCCAGCTCGTTATTCTGCCCTAAAATATCGATGAACTTTACTGATCGCTGGAGATACTCCATGCACCGATCTATTCAAATTCGAAAGGTAAAAGTTTTTGGGAAAGCAACGAAATGAGAAGATAAATTAATCCATGAAACAGTTCCCATAGGAGAATATGTTAAAAGCCCGAAACGTATGCTGTCAGACTTCTATATATTATCTCGTTCAATGAGGATAATCAAGTATGTTACCTCAAATATGTACATCTTCCTAAATACTATAACAATGGGGCATGTACTACGTAATTACTTGCGCATTCAATCAGGTTCATTTGAGTGGCATAAATTTGGGTTCCATCTGGGTTGAATGCAGCACAAGGAGTTCCACGTCTTCAGCATACAATTCCGTGCGATGATTAACAAAGATGAAACGTACAACTGTTTGTACATTCCATTCATAACTGTCGGATTATACAGACAGCTCGGTAGGAGTTATATTGTATTCAACCCAGAATCTATTATAGAAGTAGGTTACAGAAATTATTCCTTTTTTTCTAAGTAAATCGTGCATTAGTGAATTATCAATTGTGTTATTAATTTTTAATTATAACAGATAGATTATACAGTTCAGTGTATTAATTCCTGGTCATGTTTCACATTTACTTTACATGTTCTATTAAAACCGTCCAATTAAAAGTTTCGGTAGAAACAAATTCTGGTCCAGTTGGATTATTCAGAAATATATGTACTTTTTCTCATTACAATTTTTCTCTCGTTTATTTCATTTCGTATTTATTAATACAAAAATGGTATCGCTGCATAAACTTCGTCATCCAACGAAAACAATATACGAGGTATAATATCTCGTGAAACTTTTCTAATTTGTGTCGATACGTAATGAAACTCCTGCCCCAAATAACTGTTAATTACACTTAATTTTTGCCGATGATAAAAACGTCCGACGCTGGACATAATTAAAACGAAACAGATGCCTTTTGTTCTTTGTCTCATTTCTCCGTCTTATTCTCTTCCATCATCCCGACATAAATCATGTAATTTATAATTAAACTGAATATTTTTAGTCAACTGCAAAAATTTCGGATTACTAAACAAATACGGAATGCGGATGTCACTGTTCAAAAAATAATAATTGACTGACGGATCTAAAAAATAAATCGGTATACATAAAAAATTCCTGCTGGCTTAATTTATTAAATAACGAGTGATAAATTGGTAAAGCTAAAGTGAAAATGTTTTATTGTAAATAACAACAACAACGAAAATGCATGAACAGTTAACAGTTGATTTTTGGCTACAAGCGTGAAGCAATCGAACCACGGTGAAAAACGAACGAACATGTCGCGTCACCGTTTTCAATAACATCGAAGTCGTTTTACTCGACCCGTTTACCTCTCACAATCCACAGTATTTCATGAATTCACTACTTTACTTTTACGTGGAGCATATTCACCGTCGTATCGTTTCTTCAATCCGTAGGACTGACGGACTATCGTGAAAATAGGGTCGCGTAACTTGTTAATCCCCATCTACATACAATGACTCACGAAAGTGTCCGAACACCTTTTAAAACAGAATAATTTTTTTAATAGTCGACTATTACGGAGTCTTATTTTAAGTGAATGGTATACATAAAAAATGTGTATTTAATTGATTTGTAAAAATAGATTCC